TTTCACGCTTAGTAACACATACAGCTGTTCCCTCACCACAGTGCAACAGTGAAAAGGGACCCCTTTCAAACAGTGCCGCGTTCAGAACGTTGTTTAAGTGACATACTGCGGTATTTTAAAAATTCATATCATAACAAAAATAAACACCGGTATTCGAAATGAACCAGTATACCGCCCAGCACTACTCACTATTGTGAGAAATAATGTCAGAATTGTGAGATTTTTTTTTTTACCTTTACATTTACCTTTTTTGTTTTTTAATCTGTGGCAAAAACAAACAACAACAAAAAAAATTGCGAGATGCAAAATTGCAATTACAGTGTAGATCTCATACTGCAGACCAGCGCCCGTGTTTATCAAGCCTCTGAGAGTTACTCACAAGAACACTGCTAGGAATGGTCTTAAGAGTAAAAAAGCTGCTCTTAAAGTCAGATATCAAGCATCTCAGTCGTAATTTAAGCGAAGCGTAGGACTAAATCTGAAGTGTCCGTCTTAGAGAGGATTCACTGCTGTGCCACAAACAGGATTTTGGATGATGACAGGCATGGACCAATCACTGAATAGATTTCCTTATTTAAGAATATTCTCCGATAAATTCACTTTGAATGCTGACGTTCCTATAAGAGGAGTTTACATTCAGCACACATTTGACAATAAAGAATTTAAGAGAACACATCATGATATTCACATTGGAAATGAAAGATAAACTCGTTTTCCACCATGTCTTAATCACAGATTGTAAACCGGTGTGCTGTTAACTGATTTTCCTCTGTATTGCAGGTGTGTAAGCGCATGGATGAGATTTGCCAGCGCATGCTCAATCAAGGCTTCCTGAAAGTGGAGCGCTATCACAACCTGTGCCAGAAACAGGTCAAAGCCCAGCTGCCCAGGTGAGTTATTTACCTGCTTAAGTCCTCTGAAGAGCTACACAGCTGGCAGCTTGACACTCCCGGTAAAAAAAAAAGGCGCAAAAGTTGCCACTGGAGTGGTATCATTTCAAAAGCTACACTTTTGTACCTTTTTTACCTCTTAAAGGGTTAGTTCACCCAAAAATGAAAATTAGCCCAGGTTTTACTCACCCTCAAAGCATCCTAGGTGTGTATGACTTTCTTCTTTCAGACGAATCCAATTGGAGTTATTTTAAAAATAGGGATGTAACAATGTGACGATTCAAATTGGTTGAGATTCCAAACAAATCGCGATACAATTGGACAGAAAAAAACATATATGTTTGAGTTATTTCACAATAAACTAATTGAAATTGTAGCCTACGTAGTTTGTGCAATTACATTTATTTAAATTGAACGTTAAAGATAATATTGATCATGTTCTATTCTGTAATGTTAACATAAATCACACTGTCAGTGTAAATAAAAAGGCTGTATTTTATGTCACTGCAGTCCCTTATAATAATCAACCATGGCTTTACTAAAGTGACCGTAGTTCAACTATTTGTTGATTTCTGTGGTTCCCACTACAGTACACATATTTCAACCATGTGGAAACAAAAATATAAACTAAGTTGTAATTAAGGTGTATTGAATGTTAAAATGCATTTAAAAAATAAAGTTAAGTGGGTATCATTACCCATTTAGTAATTTAATAATTTAATACATTTCATAATTTAAAAGTTTAGTGCAGAAGTATCGAATCGGTATCGATATGTATCGAAAGGGTATCGCCCATCCCTACTGGCCTGTTTCTCAGTGCAGCATACATTATCACTGACCTCATATGCAAATTTCATATACCTGGGCTTTAGACGCTCATTGGCTTGTCTCCACCTATCAGCTGTGAGCCCGCTGTACAATTGTCGCTATTGGTTGTGGGAATTGTGTGTTCTATCTTCGCTGAGTATGTGACTGGTTCAGGCTGCTCGTAGCCTCTCTCACAGCGGGATTGAATATCGTTCCCATAACGGAGAAATGTCTCCGTGATGTCTCGTGAAAGCTCGAGAGGGAACGTCTC